CATTTGATCAAGACCCAAAAATCAAAAGAAAATCAGCCTTCTAACACAAAATCTAAACATCTAAACTATTTTAAAGATCAAAACACCACAAATAAGGCAGAAAAAATAAAAAAAAACGAAATTCAAAAAAAATAAAAATAAATAAATAAACTCAAGCAACAACTTCAACATGATAGAACTTGAAGAATACTAACAAAACAATATAAATTCGGCACCATAACGACTTATATAGTTTTAAAAAAAGTGATCATGACGGATTTGGATAGAAGATGAGAGGGGGAAATGATTGACATTTTTGGATGAATGGAGGTCGCCGGAAAACTCTGCCGGAAAATTTGTTGACGGGTTTTGGACATAAACTTTACATCAAAGGATAACCCTTGAACAACTCTACACTTTTATGTAAAGGATATAGGACGGGGATGACCGAAACTTTGTAAATCTAAAGAAAAATGTGAAGATTTATGTTTGGTTTTTCTTAGATCTACGGAGTTTGGCTATGGATATGAACGAATGGTTTGCGGATTTGTGTAGAGGAGAGTGAAAGGAAGAAATGGTAAAATTTTGGAGATTTTTCCGGCCAAGGGGTGGTGGCCGCCGGTGACAGTGGCGGCGGTGGCGATGGCCGGCCGGCCGGCGGCAGGTGGAAGCAAAGGGAAGAAGAAAATCAAAAAATGCAAATAAAAAATTTATATTTTGGAGTTTTGTATTTTTTGGGTAGGGTCCATAAGAGCCCTTTGATCAAAATATCATGGATGGTTGAGATTTGATCTTGACCATTTCTTTTGGACCGGGTCAAAATTGATTGGGCCATCAGAATTTGGTCTAAATCAACCCAATTCAATCAAAAATTGGGTCATTTGAGCCAATTTAAAAAAAAAAACAATATAAACAAAGACAAACAACCCAAAATACACAACAAAAAATAATTAAGAAAAAGACCTTACTAATATATTGTAGGAGTAAAATAAACACGTCAAAAATTAGGTGTTTACAGCATGCCCCTCTTTGCTTGGAAACATGAAGAGTTTTCAAGTGAAGAAAGTGAACGAAATGGCTAATTTTTTATTGTTTCAAACTCCGTTGAAGCCATTTTGAAAAAGATGACCGAACCTTGCTTCAAAGGTTGCCTACATATCCTTGATTAAAAGGAAATCAGGTCAGTGTAGTTCGAGAAACATTGATAGCTGAAACTATCAGAAATTGCGGTCAAAAGATTGCTTCGTATTGCTTGTCATCATCTACTGTCTATAATTACAAAAAAAAGAAGCTAGAGAACTATGCCTATCTACATTATAAGAGTTACAAGATCCCTACTTGATGATTTTTCTTAGGGTCTCGTCTTGATCTTTGACTTGCTCTGTCCGTTGTCTTTGAGATTGATCTTCATGCTCTCTTGACGACTTGTGGATCATTCTCAGGTGCATGTTTTAAATTGAGTTGGCGGTTGAAACTCAAAACTCAAGATCACAAAATGAAGAACCCAAAAAGGATGTGTTTCTTTTAGGGAAGAAAAAATGAGAATCTTGAACTAGGACGTATAACCCTAGAAAGAAAAGGAGAAGTGGGGTGTGTTACCCTGAGTGTTTCAAATAAGACGTATTGTCTTTATGGATTGTCCTGAGATTTGGTGTATCCCCAAAAATGTGAATATGGTTTGTATAACCCATGAATGCTAGTGCATATTGCCCAGGATATGCATATGGTACGTATTGCCCATTAATAAAGAATTGATGTGTATTGCATGTGAATAAGGACTGGTGCATATTGCACATGAAAGAAGACTAGTATGTATTGCACATGAATGCAATATCGATGTGTATTGCATGGGATTTGGATTGGTACGTCTTGCTTATGAAAGAAAGACTAGTACATTTCGCACGTGAATAAAGGACGAGTGCGTATTTGCACGAAATTCAGATTGGTGCGTATTGTGTGAAATTCAGACTGGTGCGTACTGCACATGAATAAATGATGGTGTGTATTGCACATGAATAAAGGACGTGTGCATTTTACACGGAATTTAGATTTGTGCGTATTGCCTGAAGCTCTCGGATTGAGAGGCAAGAATGTGAATAGCATGAGATGAAACAACAAACATGTGAAGACTTTGGAGAATTTCCTTTTTGTGATGTTTCATTTTTGACTTGTAATCCCACATTTTCTTTTGTTCCTGTGTTGAGCAAAAGAAAATTGTTAGTTTAAAGTGGTGGTTGGTTTGTGGCTTTGATGCTCCGATGACTTGACCTTACTCCTGACCAATTTCTCCAACTCTACTCCAAATTCTTGGTTGAACAACCTTTGAAGCTTCCTCTTTGTCGATACAAGGGCCTTGATCTTTTTGGTACTACCAAATATCATGGTGCGACTGATGTCCCAAAGGTTGAATTTTCCTATTGAATATTTTTCATGACTTTAGAGACTATATTGCATTCGTTCACGAGTTTACAGTGAAGATTTGAGGCATTTTTAGTACTTGCTCGATGGCATGTCAACTTGGATACCCAACTTTACTTTTGGGAACCCGTAGTAAGCTTTGCAATCTTTTACCTTATTTTGTCAAGAGATTATACCGAAATTACTAAAAAAAATATCAAACTTAAGAGTGTGAAAAATTGGATCAAGAAAGACTATAAACTTAAGGAAAGGCATTCCTTTTTTGAAGAAAAATGAGAAAGAGAACTTATCTGGAGACATATGTCGACTTTGAGTGAACCATGCCATGCACTTTGGACTTAACCCCGGATTCGTTTGAGTTGTCTAATTCTCAAAATCTGAACCATTATCAATTTATAACTGATCTATGTATTCTTCATGCAGAGGTATCGAGAAATGATGATCTTTGCAGATTTCTCCCAATTAGTCAATTTCATGATGTTCTCTTCTTTTATCTTAGGGTGCCCAGCAAGAGTTTTAACCGATAAGATTTTCTCTCTTGTCGTCTTATGATGCCTATAAAGGTTTTCATCGATAAGACTCTTTTTTTCTTTTCTTTTTTTTTGACTCAACAATGTTGTCTTTGATGATCAATTGTCCGTGCAAGACACATTGAATCTATCGTTCTTAGAGTTGATCAAAATGTCGGTTGCTAGAATAAAATCATAAACGAAATTACAATTTGACTCTATTCTATCAAAATAAAAAATAATGCCCCAGTTTTTTATAGATATTGGATTTTTTTTTTTGTTTTTTTGTTTTTTTTGAAAGTGATGCCTTTGTTCTCTCAGCCACAACTTGTCACAGTATCTTAGAACGCATTAGATGTAGAATCTTTTGATTGCGTCCGCATTAACAGTTATACCTGTGATTTTTCCCTCCACATCAGTAAGGTGCAAGGCTCCTTTGGACAACACTTCCTTGATAAGATATGGACCTTGCCAATTTGGGGCAAACTTTCCCTTGGCCTCTTCTTGGTGCGGGAGAATGCGCTTTAAGACCAATTGACCTACTTCAAAGTGTCTTGGGTGCACTTTTTTGTTATATGCACTAGCCATCCTTTGTTGATAAAGCTGACCAAAACAGATGGCCGTCAATCGTTTCTCATCTATTAATGTGAGCTGCTCTAGTCGAGTTTTGACCCATTCAGTATCTTCAATTTCAGCCTCGACAATAATTCGAAGAGATGGAATTTCGACTTCCGCTGGTATCACAGCCTCAGTCCTATACACCAGCAAATAAGAAGTTGCACCAATCGAGGTGCGCACTGTTGTGCAATATCCTAAAAGTGCAAAAGGCAGCTTCTCATGCCATTGTCTAGTGCCTTGAACCATTTTCCTGAGAATTTTTTGATATTCTTGTTGGCCGCCTCCACAGCTCCGTTGGCCTTTGGTCGGTATGGAGTAGAATTGTGATGCACAATTTTGAACTGCTCACATACCTCCTTCATCAAATTGTTATTAAGGTTTGCAACATTATCTGTGATGAGAGTTCTTGGGATACCAAAACGATAAATGATGTTTGAATGGACAAAATCCACTACTGCCTTCTTAGTGATTGCCTCCACCCATTTAGTAAAGTAATCAATTGCGACCAAAGTAAATCGATGTCCATTAGAAGCTTTTGGCTCAATTGGTCCAATGACATCCATTCCCCCATGCAACAAAGGGCCATGGAGCGGCCATGGGGTGCAACTCAGAAGGAGGTAAATGAATGAGATCACCATGAATTTGACACTAATGACATTTTTTCACAAAGCGAAAGCAATCCCGTTCCATGGTAAGCCAGTAATATCCTGCTCGAAGTATCTTTTTCGCAAGGACATATCTATTAATGTGTGGTCCACATACCCCAGCATGTACTTCATTCATGATCTTCTCGGCTTCTTCAACATCCACACATCTCAATAAGTTCAGATCCGGGGAGCGTTTATATAAAACTTCCACGCTCAAAAGGAAACCACTAGCCAGACGTCTAATAGTTCTTTTTTGGCTTCCACTGGCATGTTCGGGACATTACCCTGTTTGCAAGAAATTCTTGATGTCTAGGTACCACGTCTCACCATCTGATTCTGCTTCCACAGTGTTACAATATCCATGTTGGTCCCGAAGTTGAATCTCCAAGGGAGTAATACAAGTGTTTCCAGGCTATGGAAGCATTGAGGCCAAAGTAGCCAAGGCATCTCCCAATTCATTATGAAACCTGGGGATGTATCTAAACTCGATGGTCCTAAACCTTTTGCTAAGATCTTCCACACTATTGTTTGTATGGAAGAAGCTTGAGATCTTGAGTTTTCCAGTCGCCTTGAGCTTGCCGAATAAGCAAATCAGAATCTCCCAACATAATCAATTCTTGCACACCCAAATCTATTGCCATATTTAGACCCATGATGCAAGCTTCATACTCTGTTGTGTTATTTGTACAGAAGAAACGAAGTCGAGCTGTTGCAGGGTAATGTTGCCCTGTGTGAGATATGAGAATTCTCCCAATCCCTGTGCCCTTTCTGTTGATTGCTCCATCAAAGTATAATTTCCAGGCTTGATTTTCATCTGGATTCACTTCTTTAATTGAGTTAATCTCTTCATCTGGAAAATATGTATCTAATGGTTCGTAGTCGCCCTCAAATGGATTCTCTGTCAAGTGGTCTACCAGAGCTTGAGCTTTCATTGCAGTTCGAGTGACATATATAATGTCAAATTTAGTGAGCAAGATTTGTCATTTCGTGAATCTGCCAGTTGGCATTGGCTTCTGAAAGATGTACTTCAAAAGATCCATCCTATATATGAGGTAAGTTGTGTAGGACAAAAGGTAATGCCTTAACTTTTGAGCTAACCCAAGTTAGGGCGCAACATGTCCTTTCCAAGAGGGTGTACTTGACCTCATAACTAGTGAATTTCTTGCTCAAGTAGTAGATAACTTGCTCCTTCCTGCCTGTGGAATCGTGTTGACCGAGAACGCACCCAAAGGAATTATCTGTCACTGAAAGATATAGAAAGAGAGGCCTAACTGGTTCAGGCGGGACGAATATGGGAGGTTTGGACAAATATTCCTTGATTTTTTCAAAAGCTTGTT